CTTCTATTATATCTTATTTTTATTTTTTTATGAAACTTAGAATGGCAAACAAACTGACGGCCCACCTCATTGAAAGTGGTAATCATCGCCTACAGACAGGACATGGACATAACAGAGTATATTGTATCACCCATGATAATCCCCATTCGTTGCCATTCCTGAGAACTCAGGTGTTATTCCTCTGTACCCTCTAAATTCACTGTCATATCCTTTTAGCTTTGCACTTTGAAAGTACAAAGTTTCAAAGTTTAAATAAATATGTACAAAAAATCGTTTATAAAAACCTCCTGTATATAATTTCACTAATACCACTCACGAATTAAATCGCAGTAGAATTAAAAACTCGGCATATTGCACCATCTTTTTCTGATTAGTATCATCAAAAAGAGATAGAACGCCCGTCTAAATAGCAACGCTAAGCTTCTTATATTATCGCAGCCTCCCAACTCAGGAATAATCCCTCTTGTAACTGCTTTTTTATTCTTTTCCACGTAATCGCTAATGAGGAATAATAGAATGCTAAGGAGATATTTTCTGCTTTCTTTGCCTCCTTACAACAATTAAAAGTCGTTCCTGGGAATATAAATTTAATTACAATTACACGGCAGTATCTGGACCATATCGGATTGCTTTGGTTATTCTGTACAATTCTTGTTACCGATTCTAACGAAATTTGTTTTAAAGTGTATCTATCTATATACATGTATATCTATTTAATTAATTCAAATATAGAGCAGTATTGTAATCCAATCCTGCCATTTAAAATGAAGGTAGGTAAACTTTTTTAATTTTGTACCTACTCGTGTTTCTGTCGAGAAGTAAACTTCGTTGCATGGCTGTATTTGACGGCCAAATTACAGGATACAGAGGCATAACGTCTTTGTACTCAGTAATGGCAATACACGAGGGTTATCACAGGCGTCACAGTTTATTCTTTGATGTCAATAGTATTGCACATGTTTATAATTGACAGTTGCCACTTTCCATCAAATAGACCGTCAGATTTTTTGCCATTGTACGTATTAAAAATAATAATATCTGATATCGTGGTGATGGATCGGGCACTTTCGAGTGTGTTTTTGGTGGATGTCACCATGCCGCATAACGAGATCCTCGTGAAAGCCGAAACCGAGAAAAAGAGAAAATATTTCGACTTGGCTCACGAGGTGACCGAAATGTGGAGGGTGACGTCCACCGAAATCATTCCAATCGTTTTGTTAGTAAACGGTCTTATCTTAACTAGTTTGGAACAACATCTCAGACGGTTGGGATTCCGAGGCGGCTCACTCCCGGGAGAGATGCAGAAAGCGGTGCTCTTAGATACTGCCCGCATTGTACGCCAGTTTCTCTCCCCGGGGCCCTGAACCCTGACTGTGCTTCTGTCGGGGGTTAGTTGCCATCTCCTTTCCTTAAGACGGGAGATGTGAATTTTTGTAAAAATTAAAAAATAATAATAAAAGTGCTTGTGAATTATTATAGTAATAAAAGGAAAAAAAAATCATATTAACAAAACAAGAAAACACTTGATTAATATAAAATTAATTCCAATATGTTAATTCTGTTTTAATTATATGATAGCGAATTAATGAAATTAATTTGTTGGTACAGTAATTACTAGAACGTGTTTAATAACGACGCAGTAACGAACCGAGTTTCATTTATGATTAAAATTAAAATGTAATATCTCGATTAGATATTTCTATCTTAATGTTGTAATTATCTTAAACCACTTCAAGAGAGATATTGAAATGAGAGATGTTCAACTCGATATTTTAACTTCGGACGAGATTCGAACATACACCATAATAATATGATCTTTAAAAGTAATAAGATATGAGGATAACATAAGCATCATAGTGTATGCTGCAATATCTATAGATGATGATTTTGCTAACATTTTTTTTCTAACCATAAGTGCTGCTGACCAAAAATGGCCTTTACAGCTTCACCGGACGCGTGTACAGAGGCAAGTGTAGACGGCACTCCAAGCCCGCGAGAGGGGACCGACAAAGCGCCAGCTCTTTCTTATGGACTGCGGTGTGTGTCTAAAAACGCCAGAGTGGCTCGCACCTCGGCTTTTTTTATTGGATGAAAGATTGGATTAATGAAACAACTAGAAATAAAGCTAAGGCTAAATAAATTCGAATCAATCACCAGAGGGAGACTTTGTACAAAAGTCGATTGCTTGGGTACCTCTGTCCCATTCGTGTTTCAACCGTTGTGTTTGTATGGCTGTGTTTCGGTTTGAAGGGTGGGATATGGCGTGAATTTACAGGGTACAGAGGAATAACATCTGAGTCCTCAGGAATGGCAAAGCATGGGGGGTATCGTGGGCGAAACAGTATACTCTGTTGTCTATGGTACTGCTCATGTCTATAGGCGACGGTTACCACTTTTCATCAGGTGGGCCGTCAGCTTGTATGCCATTCTAAATTATATAAAAAAAATAGCTAAGAACATTTTCTTCCAGACTATCAAGGATGAAAAAATTAAAATCTAAACATCGATTTGGAGCTAGGATCACAAACGGACATATATTTTACGTAAACATATTCTAACTCTCAATTGAAGTAAGGGGTTGAAAGTACGCTAATGACTTCGATTTTACCCACTATAGTCCTTCAGTGGGTCACTGAGTACACACTTGGCCCGGAAAACTGAGAATGGCAATTATTAATCCTTTAGGATCGAACTGTTAGACATTTCTTTTTGTTATATTTTGAATTACATGCTAAGAAAGAGTTCAGATTAACACCTGCTACTGAATTTCTTCATAGTTGCTATGTGGTCCTGACATAGAATGGACCACCTCTTTCTTTTCCGTGGATGTCGTAAGAGGCGACTAAGAGAACTCAATGATAGAGAAATGGGCAGTAGTATTTAGTTTAAAGATATCAATTTGAATAAAAAAAAAACAAAATAATTTAAAAAATATTCAAATCAACTTTTATACTTATCCGAGTAGTAAGCATTATTTACTACTCTCATTTTCATATATAATAGAGTTAGTATGTCTTAAATACTATACAATTAATTCGAGTAATTGAACTTTTCTTCAGATATCAAAAAATTTTATAACTTTGTGTATGTGTTTATATGCATGCATGTATGTATATACACATGTATATGTATGTGTGTATGTATATATACATGTATATGTATGTGTGTATGTATATATGTATATGTGTATATAAATAATAGCATATAAGTGTATATAATGAGTAGGAATATATGTATGTACATTATTACTCCTCTCCATCCGAAGGTTACCTGGAAGAGATCGCTTTTAGTGATAAGGTCGCCCATTGTTTTTTCATTGTGATTATTTCTTGTAATTGTTTATATTGATAATAAATTTACTATTATAATATTTTGGAGGTAACAATAAAGAGTATCTATTTATCTATCTAACTTCATCACTTCTCTTCCCTAATCCTGACTGGGAGAGGATGCTTTTGGCATTGATATTACCTTGTACATAGGTATTTTAGTAAACAATAAATAAATACAATCTACTAAACAACGCACAATACATTAGCAGACTGGAAATAAAAATAAATTCATAACCTCAAACGGTTAGGCTTACAAGGCAGTAAAGCGCAACTACACGACGCAGTAAAGAATTATCTTCAAAGATAAAGAACTTAGTGGCATGTTATGTCCGGTTTTACTGCTTTCTCTCAGTTTAAGGCTGTAGTTACAATCTACGGAAAGGATTAGGGGATGTTTTGTGATAGCCACATAATGTTTTACGGACACACCGGTATGAGCGTCGTAAAATACAATTACAATGTATTTTGTGTTTTAAATTAAACATTAAAAGTACATTGTTTAAACTTCATTGATTAGGTGGTCTGTTTATATTGATATACAATAAAATGCACGATTAGGTCTTAAATAGAGCGTATTAAATAAATTAAAAAAAAAAGGAATTAAATGTATTCAGTAAGAAATTATTTTAAAACAATTTGTTTTTATGCAACTTAGAATGACAAACAAACTGACGGTTCGCCTGATAGAAAGTGGTAACCGTCACCTATAGACATGAACAGTATCATGGACATAACAGACTATACCGTTTCAACCATGATACCTCCCCATGCGTTGCCATTCCTGAGGATTCAGGTGTTTTTCCTCTGTACCCTGTAAACTCGCCGTTATATCCCACTCATCAAACCGAAACATAGCCATGCAAACACAACTGCTTTACTCTCCCTCTGATAATAATTGCTTCTTTAAATTGTTCTCTTAAAGATTCTCGACTAATAGAATAAATCATGTGACAGTCTCTTTATGTGTTGCCATTCACAAGAGCTAAGATAAATTTCCTGTAATCTTCAAATCAAAATACAGCCTTGTAATCATAATTGGTTGGCAACAAAAACGCTAACAGGTGAATAAAACAAAGAAGTACATTAAATGAATCCTTCTAATTGTACATGAAAATGAAACCATGTAATTTTATATTTGCGCATTTCAGATGAAATTTCTCATCAAATTTCCAATAACCAATTATTTGAAATGAGTAGGTACAAGCTTGATTCTCAAGTATCATATTTCTAGATTCATTAATTTGGTATTTTTCGATCCTTGTCACCCTTTAGTCTCAAATATTTCTACACTGCGATCTTTGTACATAATGGCCTTTGACGTTTTGTTACCCCAAAAAAATGTTACTTGTCATTCGAAGTTTGAAAGAATTTTAAAAGATCCAAATGTGATTTTTAAAACTTATGTTCATTTTTAACAATGTCTATATATATACATATATATACAACGGGATATATGTATACTTACTTTGTCTGTCATTCTGGACAATTTTTGCGTAAGTCTTCTTCAGAGGGTGTACGGTGCTTTGTGTCACAGCGTCTCTTCTCGCAGTGCAATTTGTAGCTCGCAGAGCCCGTGCCGTTAGGGGCACAAATAAAACAACAATTTGATAAATTAATTTTTTAATTCATTATTTTTTCATACTGTTTCATATTTTATATTATATCGGATATGCAATTATTTATGTAGAGTGTGCTTATTATATAATTCACTGATATAATAATATTTAAAGTATAAAAACGGGAAAGCAATTTAATGATTTCTGTAAATTACAATTTGGAATTCATAATGCAAATACTTTACAATAATGAGATAATAAAAATAAAAGAACCGAATTAAAGTACACTAATTAATAATATATATTTATATTAATCACTTATTATAATATTTTTTATAATATAATCCAGCATTATTATTAAATACTACATAATAAATATTACTATTTACATTGTTGAGCAATCTCATGAAATACCTATTTAATAGTAATAGTAATAATTTCAATACAGTCTTACTTGATTATTGGAATAATAAAATTATTAAAACATAAACAAAATATAAATAAAAAGCGAGTTTCGTAAATAGGACTAATTATTTCATATACCAATATGAAAAATTAAACAAGTATTCTAATGTGTATAACATCTATAAACAAAAGTGCCAGATTATGTTACAAAAAAATCGACTGAAATGTAGGTTCATCAAAGTTTCTGATCATATCAGATAATATAATATTTATACATAGAGTGAGAAGCAAAGCACATATTGTCATCATAGAAATGCTTTGCCTATTAAGATGGTGTTCCGAAAAAAAAACGACTTCAATTGTGCCAAAACCAGTAATTTTTATTTAAAAACTAAACTCTTGCAACGATTCTGATAAAATTTCTATTCTTTAGATAAATAAAAAAATTCCAAATCGATTTACATAACTGATATTATGAGATAATAAACATAAAAAATATATATAACCGAATTCAGGTTCTCTTCTTTTTTTTTTAAATTAATTTAAAAGATGTTTAATTTAAAAGAAGTAAAATTTTTATCTTTTTTTTTTGTTAACTTTTTAACTTATATCGGCAATGACAATCTATTTACCACTTTTTATCAGATGAACCGTGTTTATCATTATAACTTGCATAAGAAACCCTCTCTTACTTTTATAAATTGGAGTAGTAAAGCAACAAGGAATTAAAGAGACCTATGATAACAAAGTAACATATATTTACAAAAGCAGTTTAAACTCTCTATTGCGTTTATGATTATTCTAAAATTGACTATTTACGTACATTTTTCTTTTTTTTTTTTAAAGTTAGGGAGTATTATTATTCTTTTAAATTTGAGTTCACATTTCATTAATTTGAAATTCAAGGGTGAAATTATTAGATATTTACTTATGATGATTATAGTATTTTATAATTCTGAGGGATACGGGAAGGTATTGGTATTTTATACAGAGTAAATTACTTTGAATCCATAACCCAAATTATAAAAACTAGTTATATTTAGATTAAAAAAATAACAGCTAGAACTAATGTTATAAGTATTCCAAATTATATAGTAAATTTAAACTTGGAACTGCAGAAATAAAATGTAAAAAGAAATAATTAATAATAAATTACAACGAATATATAAGAATGAAACCGGAATACATTATCATTAATTACATTGGATGGAGACAATAAAATTATATATTAAAATTGTACATTTTAATTTAAAATCATATGAATATTTACACGCGTTTTCACTGATATGTTAATTTAACACAAAAATAACATTTATAATAAATAACACAGTGATAGTCCTCGCATTGTTTTTATTTGAATCACTATGAGCTGTTTTTTGTTTAACAGCACCTTCCGTTAGACCTGTAATCAAATAGTTATTTGTTTAGGTATTTTCAAATGTATATAAAAATTAACTATCGTGAATCGTACTGTATTGTAATTATTTATGTTGATTTTACTTACATTTTAAATTCGGGAATACCTGACTAGTTACGAACTCAGTAGGAACCCTTATTATTGCGTTTAGTGACTCTTGACTCAACCGTACACCGCGCTTCTATATAAGAGCAATTGAGTACGAATCTAGTCGAGTATTCCCGAATTTGAAACGTAAGCAAAGCCGACACAAATGGTTACAATATTATATTCATAATCAAAATGATTTCTTTTTTCATTATAATATATTTCTTTTCCCTATAAATGCTTCATTCCTCTTTTACCAACTTTCTTTATTTACTCCCAACGTTCCCCTCCTTTTTCATCAATCCATATCGTAGGAGATGGATATCACCAAACAATGCATTCCTAAAGAGGGTTGACGTCAAGCAGACGGCCGATCGTAAAACCGAAAACTAAAACTTTGGGTATTATGAATAAAATCATATTACGTCGATCCCAAATAATTTGGACAAGGCCAGAAAGATTATATCATTATTAGCAAACTTGCCATTATATTTAAAATTAATTAGTATGTCATTAAAGCAAATCCCTACTAATTCTCTAACATGGTAATCTTTCAAAATTGCTTTTAACAAGATGGTATAAAATAAAAAAGATTTTCAAAAGTTTATAAATTTTAAAAAGATTTTTAAAAGATCTATAGGCGACGGTTACCACTTCCCATCAGGTGGGCCGTCAGCTAGTTTGCCATTCTAAGTTATATAAAAAAAATACATTTTGATTATACATTTTCTACTACTAAAACAACTAATACATTTGATTTTTTTGTAAACTAAGTAACAATACGAATAATTCGATAAAGTTTCTCTTAAACAATGTTCTTATTTTAAACGTGCTTAAAAATACAAATTGCTTAGTATAAACAAAGTATTCTATTTTAGATTCTACGTTAAAAACACAAGGATTGATTCACTTCGCCATAACAAAGCAAATTACAGATTGTAGTAGAGAAATGTTTGCCACATGCCTAGAGAGATATTGGTAAAATATTAATTACTTACCGCCCACATTTACTTCTGCAGCGGATTGTAAGCTGGGATACAGCTTTATTTCTGGAAAATATAAAGTAACAATGTATCTCTACTATCTATACGAATATTATAAAGAGAAAAGATTTGTTTGTAATGAATTGTTTGGAATGAAGTCAAATACTACTTTATTGATTTTAAAAATTCTTTCACGTATAGAAAGCTACTTTATCAGCCAGTAATATAAGGTATATATTACAAGGTTAAATTGCTAGCATAATATAAAATCGAAATATTCATCATTATTTTAAAACAGTAAGCACTGAGAAACATAAGTACAATACAAGAGAAAAAAATTAAATATGTTATACTAATTTTATAGCTCATCTAGACACGCCTTGTTAATATAGAAGGCTCAAAACTATGTTTTTGATGAATTTTAATTTCAAATTGGCTAAAACAGGTTTAAGAGAGGTTTGACGTTTTTATGAATAAGTGTGTTAAAGTGTCTGAAAATGATTTTCTATATAATATGTAAGTAATAATGTAGAAGATATTCTCACAATCTAAGGATTAAAAATATATATGTAACATTTTTTGTACGCAATTTCGATAAGTGCAGTATACTAAATAGACTAATATATATTTCAATATTATCAATTGCGTATAAACAGTCTGTTTAAAATTCTGTAAAAACATAGTCTTTGTTATATAGAGATCGATATTTACAGTTCAAAATGTTAATACATAAAATCACGTACCATAAAGTCTTAGTGTTCCCTCGCCTTTCCCAAGCGAGTTTGTACTCACACAGTTGTATGTGCCTATATCACTCTTAACGAACTGACAAATGGTCAGCTTCATCACCACTTTGTATGATGACCTCTCCTCGTATATGATATATTTTGGCCTGGAAAAAGTAAATAGTATTAATATCGTTTTAAATTTAAATCAATTTAGCATATTATAAACAACTATTGCCGTGTGGTCCCGATATAGAATTGGCTAAGCCTTCCTTTCCCGTGGGTGTCGTAAGAGGTGACTAAGGAAACTTACTGTTCGAGGGCTGACAGCCGTGTTCCTCCACTGTATATTACAAAAACCTAACGCAAAAACTACTAAACGGATTTGAATGAATTTAGGCACAAAGACACATTATATCCTATTTTAGTGCATAATATTATTTATATATATTGATTCATGCCTAGTCGTCCATGCAAAAACTGTTTTTGGCAGTTAGGTAAAAAGTACTATAAAATATGCTTTTAATTTACCCATCAAGAAGCATCTCTCCCCTATTCTTGAGCCAGTAGTTGATGGTATTGGGGTATGCCTCCACAGTACACTCCAGCACCACATCGGTACCCAAAGGAGCGCCCAGGAGCTGATTAGGTACTATCACTGTTGGGGGAACTGTGAACAAAAGAAGCCATTATTTCTTCCTATACCTTTATTTGAAAGAAAGTACATATATAAGGTAAAATCAAAGTTAATATAGATAAAGACAGAAACATGCTCTTTCTGTCTTTATCCTGATTACGTGAACGAAGTCGTGGATAAAAGTGTATTTCCTATCAGCCTCTAACTGTCCACTGCTGAACATAAACCTCCTCCCTTCGGACATTTTGTTAGTAGTTATTACGCTTGGCAAGCGGATTGGCAATTGCAGTTAGGCTTTGGAGATGTTTTAAGAGGGACGCTGCTGCCTATCTCTCGCCCTCCACCAATCGCCTCTTACGACTTTCACGAGAAAGGAAGTAGTGGCCTATTCTATAAGAGCCCATACAGCTATCAGTATAACACGGATAAAAGTGTATATCTTCAAGAAGGCAAAAGTTCAACACTTTCTCTGGTGAGCCGTCAACTTGTTTGCCATTTTAAGTTGCATAGAATAAATAAAAAAAAAATTTGTCCCTCAAAAATTGCAATTTCGATCGCTAAAAAAGGAATTCTGTTTTTATCCCTAGAGAGGAACATACATCTTATTAATATAATAATTCTAACGAAACGATTTCTATACATGACAGGTATTTAAGAAAAAGTAGTATAAAAGGTTCTTAATAATACAAACTAAATTTTAGCAATTTAACTTTTTTGTCTGTCTGTTTGTTCCGATACACGCAAAAATTATTGTACCAAATTAGATATATTTTTCACAAATGTATTGCTGAAGGTTTTAAAATCTAGTATATATTTCATATTGACAAGTCTTTTAGAAGTGGTATATTTTTGGTATTGGTTTTTCTATTACTAAACTTTATGGGTACGAGTGGCAAGCAAAAGTTACTTATGATGAAGTAAGTTTTTATTTGTTTAATATCTCTTAGCGCCATAAAGAATCAAGCAATAGGAAATTTGGTACATAAAAATTTTATACAGTAAGTAATATGAAGATCACTATAAGTTCTTAACTGATGAGTCGGGTCATTGAGTTCCCCTGAAATATGGTTGAGCGCAATGACGGCTAGTTCATCCGTCATACTAGTGAACGGGTGCTGTTTATGAGGACTGGCCTGCTTACATTTACTTATTTACTTTCCATTGAATAACACACATACAAGTAAATAGAACTCAATGATAATTACAATCACAGTACCCATACAAATGTAAAATATAGATAGATAGATAGGTAGATACTCTTTATTGTTTCCTCCAAAAGATTACAATAGTAAACTTATTATAAATATAAATAATTACAAGAAATAATCACAATGAGAAAACAATGGGCGACCTTATCGCTAAGAGCGATCTCTTCCAGGCAACCTTTGGATGGAGAGGAGTAATTATAAACAATTTGGTGGGAGGCACGATGAAAATATACTTGTACATAATAATTTGAAAAGAGTAAATGTTGAGTTTCTTACGAATTCTTCTCAGTAGATAACAACATTCCAAACCCAGTTGTACAATCATAAAAAATAACAATTTAAAAGAGCTTGTAAACAAGTCTATTTGAACAAAAATATTTCTACTGTATTCTATTTCATTTTTGCCACTTGACTAAGCAGTTCTAAAAATATATAGCTTATTGAGCAAGCACATAACTCCCTAGTCTATTTGTCATGACTCGCGAGACGACAGACAGTCGCAAATCTGGTTTTCTCTTGCCAAAACAAACCTCAAACTACAATTTACAATTTAAACTAGGTACATACTATACAACCTACATGCTACACAGCTGAAGGGTTACGATTTAATTGTTGACGAAGCTTATATAAGCCCTTTACTTACAAGCCTGCTTTCTCTGCTAATTGATCCGAATTGTATTGGTTTGATTAGTTTATTGTTATTTAAATTTATATAATTTATTTTTCTATCTGTTCTCCTTCAACCAAAGGTTGTCTGTAAGAGATTGCTCTAATAATAAGACCGCCTTTTGTACCTTTATGAATATATTTTAATCTGTACTTTATACTACTGTATTTAACTTCAATTGTTTAATTGTCATTGTATTTTTTTTATGTTTCTAGTGCAATAAAGAGTTAAATAAACAAATAATTAAATAGATTTTTATATAAAACCGATTTCGATATTTCTTTTTAAAATTAATAGGGTTCACTCCGATCAATATTAATTTTGTCGGAATTTAAGTCACTGTTAGACATGCTTTTAGATCTTTTCGTGAATTCATAAAAATAATATTTAATTCTTGTTTATACTATTTATGAACCCAATGCTTCGCTCGCGTGAATCAGTATATAAAGTATCCTATATCCCAAGTTCTAAGATTCTTGAGTAGCGACCCTGTACGAACAAACGCAGTTTAGGACGACCTTCCACTAGATGGAGTGACGACCTCAGATGTATTGCGGGGAGTCAGTGGATGCAGATGCCTCAGGACCGTTCCTTATGGCACTGTATAGGGGAAGCTATATTCAGTAGTGGACAGATATGAGATGATAATGATGATGATGATGTGCCATGTTAGTATATATCTTAAATCCAAGTTATAACGTATAGGTATACCAAATTTCATTCAAATCCGTTCAGTGATTGCTACGTGAAAGCGAAACAAACATCCATCCCTCCACCCATCGCATTAAAATATTATTAATTAATATTTAATTTTGAATACTTTAATAATGCCAATAGCAATAAATTAATTTAATAAAGCAAAAAATAAAAAAAACGTTGTAAAATGCAAAATAACTTAATTACTTTTTTTTTATTGTACAGACCTTAAAACAACATAAATATTACAAATAAAAATAACATATCGGCTATATCTTCAAGAACAATTTATACCTAAAAAAATTTATTATTCTTTAATAAAATAATTATAATTTATAGTTATTAATACAATTAATTTAATTATTATATATTTACGAGCATATAATTAAAAAAAAATAAAAGTTGAAATTAAAATATATTATTATTTTGTAATGATGAGCCAAAAGAACGTTGCTAATAGCCCAATAATTATAAAGCTCAATCTCCGACATTCCGAAGCAGTAACGAGATTGCTTTCCGATCACGAAAACGAGAAGATTCCACGAACGGCACCGATCCGACAAATCATGATTATTGGATCGATCAAAAAACCAGTCTAAATGCATTAAAATGGAACACTCAACTTAAATGATCCGGGGTTCTCCGAATAAAATTGGCCAATCCGATGAGTGGGGATTTGGTGGCAGTTAGTGTACGGAAGGCAATGTTCTGATAAACTTGGGATTGATCCCGGTGGCGGGTTTCGGGGTTCGGGAACCAGGACGGCCGAAGAGCCGTGAAATGCGCTCTCCGTCGTTTCGCGTTAACAGGAATTCGAATTTCAATTTCTTGTTTTTGCAATTTTCATTTTTATTGTAATTGAGAATTGTACGGTTCTTTCGTTCTAAATTCAAATTATACGAATTATTTACGTAAACTTATATTAAGTCGCCAGTATCAGTATTGTTCATTCTTTTTTGTAAATTGAGTCTGTCGTCATATATCTTTCTTCATGATGTGTATGTTATTTAAGGTACTAAGTATCAAAGAACTATGATTTTCTCTTAATTAGTATTGTTAGACAATTTCTTCTTTCTAGTTAACAAGATAAACTGAAAGAAATTTCTTTAATAAGCCTACCCTTATACGTCGTACAAATATAATTTATGTATATATAACTCGCTATCTCTTCAAACTTTATCCCCCCCCCCTCCCAATTAGAATTTTTTTCTTGTAATAAAAATGTAATCCTGGTAGGTATACTGGGCCCATTTTTTTTCATAAATTTTTCAACCTTAGTATAAAATATAAATTTTCATCATTATGTAAACTATTATACAATATAATGATTGTACATTGACTTTTTAACCCCTCGGGTATCTGATTTTACATTAATTAATACAAGCATCTAATATAGGCCTAATAATAAGATCATTGTAATTAATTATACATAATATATTGAACTTTGATAAATAATGTAACTTATAGCTGATAAGATATATGGTTATTATGGTAATACACTGTACAAAGGCATTCTGCATGGATAATTAATTAATTTGTCGCCAATCAGTTTGCTCGGAAGCTGTGTTGCGCCCTCTGATTATGTATATCGCAAACACTTTATGATAAACTAAAATCCATATTTGTTATAAATCTTAATGTTTGACATATTTTGTATTACCTAATAGCAATTAGTAGGTGAATACTGGTGTTTATTTTCTCCTATTAATTGTCACCACCCTAAGCGAACACAGAGACATAGTCGACGAATAAGACCAACCAAAAAGAAGACATTCCACTCTTGACGGTTGGCCGCACTATTTATTTATTTATTACATCAATTGGATGAGCTTTACAGTATCCAAATACGATAACTAAGGAAAGCATCAGTACAATAACATACATAAAAAGAAATAAATAAAACAATAAATAAATAAAAAAAGGTAAAATAAAAAGTATAATATAAAAAAGATTTAACTAGAAATGACGTTTGAGCCTAAATCTCTGAACACAAACACTCTGTGGTCATCCGACGAAACTCCAGCTAGTTGAAGGCACTATGGCGGCTTACTAGTGTTTTTTATGATACATTTGAAGGATCCGATGTTATAGAATAAAGAAAACAGATCACGTTACCTCTGCATAACGATTTAGAAACTAAAACTACTATGAGTTAGTTTTATCTAAATAGCGGTGTTTATATATAGTTTATAGAAAAAAATATAGTTAACCCATCTAGTATATTTATTCTTTACGCATAATGCTAAACATCTTTGCTTATAATGAACCAGTTTGAATCCTTTTTGCACACATTTAGTTGCTGTTTTATACAGAATATTATGTTTAAAAATGTTTTCAAATTTTTTATTTTTAAGTATTTCTGTGTGGTATACATATCATACCGACACGAAGAACTTATGAACATTATAATAAAAGGTAAGATAGAAGGAAAAAGGGGGAGATGGAGACCGAGACATAGTTACATCAGGCAGATCAAGGAAGGAGTTGGCGTCGTGTCGTATCAAGAGCGGAAGAGACTCGCAGAAAATCGTAGTGAGTGGTAAGAACTCAACCAACGAGAGGGCTGTTCTTAAATAAGATAGATAGATACACATATCTATAACTGTTTTACTTCATCAAACATTACATTAAATCTTCATACAATCCACTTTACATTACATCCCATCAAACAAACATAATATAAAACTTTTGAAAGTTGGTTGAAAATAGTACCACAGTCAAAGCCGTAAACAAAGATTGTCATAAACCAAGCTAACCACTAAAATATTCCGCATATATGAGGTCTCTAAACCAGCTTACGGAACGCCTCAGTCAATGGCAAGGAAGAGTCAATTATACGGTAGGGCGGCTTACAAGAGGGAGATCAATTCGGGTTTATCGCGATTCGATGCTGGTATAAGTGTTAAGCGAATCGACAACTTATTTTGTCAATATAAATATATATACTAGCGGCCCGTCCCGGCTTCGCACAGGTGAACATTTTTACATTTTAAATAACAAATAAATAAACAATAACCACTATTGTGACATAACGATAGTAGTTGGACATTAATAAAGCGAAGTTTTTTGTAGTTATTGATATTTTCTTCAATGTTGTAGAACATACTTTTGTTCTATCACCAATAGTTTCAGCAGCGCACGCGACGAAAGATATTTTATATTATTTTTTTACACCTTGAGTTACGTTACTAAAGTTTTATTAAGGATTTTTTCTATCTTAATCTTTTTTAGCAATAAATACAGCCTATGTTACTCAGGGTGAATGTAGCTTTCTAACGGTGAATGAATTTATGAAATCGGCAAAGTAGTTTTTTAATTTATTCATTACAAACATACATACACACAAAAATACAAATATTTCCTCTTTATAATATTAGTGTAGATATATGTTTATTTTCAAAGACAAAATAATTATTCATTTTTATCAACAAATAATGTTTGATGCCTGAATCATAGACAAGAGAGTTCCCACAAGTCGAGAATCTCACTTTTCATTGATTCATGTTTTTAATACCAATATTAAGCGAATAAACAACTTATTTATATATATATATAATAGTATGAATAATTAAATATACGAAAGTATCTAATCCATTATTTGGAATCGTAACTTTTTTATTTCTATGCGTAGAAATTAGTTTGGTGATTTTTTTTTTGTAAACTCTTGTTTGTATTAAATTTTCAATTCGCGGCCATCTTATAAATTAAACCTGTACATTAGTTATATTATATCGATGTTAACTAGATGATAGTTTAATTCTATAGATGGCAAAGGTAAGATTAATTTTATTTACGTATTAGCTATGCTTAAGTATATTCATCCGCATAGTAAGTTATTATGGTAGACAGACGAAGACAGTATTATGTGTAGGGTACTATATGTACTGATACATAAGGAAATGATTCTCCATTAGCTTGAGTGTATGTTACCGATTTTGATAATTCTTTTTGCTATCGATAACATTTATTCCCGTGTTGGTCTTGAATTTATTTTTCTGGTTAATTTACCTTGTATACAATGATAGATAAAAAAAGTATTTTTGGCCTTTTTCGGGATACTTGGAATGACAATAAATGATTTTACTGTGTCCCTACATAATTAAATATTAGTTTTTTTTTATGGAACTCAGAATGACAAACAAACTGACGGCCCATTTGATGAAAAATGGTAACTTCCACCTATAGGCATAAACAACACTATGGACAAAAACACAAAATGCACTGCAACGTTCATAGTAACCTTCGTACGTCATTGTTTTTGAGAACTAAAGTGTTATGCACTGGCATACTGATACACTATAATTTCACCAATCATTCGATAAGGCAAAAACTTCATTTCATTCCATCTTGTTTACTTCATACTTTTCATTTAAATTCATCTTAATTCATCTCTTTCATCCCTTTTATGCCATTTCGTTCCATTTCTGCCGTTTCATCCTATTTAATTTAATTTCAAACCGAAACACAACAATGCAAGTACCAATGCAAAAACAGAAGTATCTGAACGGATAATTTCAGTGTAAAGACACCCTTTGATAATTAAATTACTAATTACTGATAATTATAGTTAATAGATGCGATCCTGTTACCCCCTTTGATAAACTAATCACTGATAATGGGAGAAAGGGATTGTTAGTAATGGAGACTAAGTGCTCTATTGCTAGCAATATACCCAACTAGGTCGCCCTCCCCGTGGTTCCCCTGGAAACCATCGTGCTAAATTCCAAGTATATAATTATCACGATGGGCTACTGACCTGCCTTTTTTTCATTCTTACCTATCATCCCTCACTGGTGCCCCGCCAGCGTATACCGTTAGCGCAGGCAGGTAACATTCAGTTATCATCCATTAAAAAAAATCACTGATAATGTTACTTACAGTTAACATTAAGTGTGATCCGCTTGCTGACTGCTGGCGGCACATCGTTGGACGCGATGCAGAGGAAGGCGCCCATCTGCCGTCGGTCCACGCGCCACAGCGGGAGCGAGCTGCCCACGTAACTCTCCACTGTACAAACAAACATCTCGTTGTAACAATCGAGGATAAATTACAAATTTGAATATGCTCCATAAAATACGGACTTGTTGAGTATTACTGTCTTTTTATGTTAAAGTTAATAGTCAACAAAGCCCCTGATTTGATATCCCCTTCCTATCCCGGGGGTGTCGTAAGAGCCGACTAAGGTACGGAAAGGGATGGGCAGCAGTATTCCTCTTAAAATATCTCTAAAACCCTGACTGCGGTTGCCAATCCGCCTGCCAAGCGTGGCAACTACTGGCAAAACCCCTTAAGGGAGAGGCTTATGTTCAGCAGTGGACAGTTAAAGGCTGATATAATGAATACCGCTGATTGCCTCATTAGAGAGTATAAAAACTAAAAAAAATATATCAATTTTTTTTTTGTATACAACTTTACTAACTATAATACTTTTTTCCGTGACAGAAATAGATAGATAGATAGATGGATAAACTTTTTGTTTGAGCCATATAACACACGTAAATTTACAAATGAGTTTATACAATCAAATTATTTGCACTTTTTAAAATAGTTCTTTGACTGAGATAAAAAGTGGTCTATGTCGTCATCTTGTATAGTTTTTTTTTATACCACTGAGGTGGCAAAGAAGCATACGGCCCACCTGATGGTAAGTGGTTACCGTAGCCTATGAACACCTGCAATACCACAGGTATTACGCGTGCGTTACCGACTGAGTGTTTGTGGGAGGAAACATCTCTGAAACCGCGCAGTACGCGACCATTGAGGCTGTAGGACATGAGGATGAACTTCCTGTCGATGGCGAGCCGTACGATGGTAGAAAGTGGCTGTGAGCATCATATTAATCAGTTAAGCCGTTAATGTGCTTAGAAACACAAATAAACTCACTGTCAGATTTATAATAATAGTAAGGATGTTGATTTTGTGTTAATAGACAAAATTTGTTTAATTTATCTGCCCAATTTAATATTAGTGAAAAACATGTAGATGGAGAATACTTAAGAAAATCAAATTGAAATTATTGCATTCATATAAAAGACTATCTTAGATATGTAGTATATAGATGTCAAATACAAGTAAGTTTAGTAATAAATAATATATCAATATTTGTACCAAATCTATTTTTACGTTCCTTTTCATTTTCCTAAAGAGATATCTTCTTGATAAAATGATAAATTTTGTTTCAAATAAACTCTGACAGTTCTCTTTTATTTTCAATATCTGGTTATGTTAAATGTCTCAAAGATTTGTATTTCTATTTTTGAATTCGTTGATGAATTTATATCCTTTGATCAGTGGCTCAATATTTCAAAACATTAAAATAATATTCTAAATTAAATGCTGAATTCTGATAAAATATATCAAATAACGTTTACAAATTCGAGCCAGAATCGTGTTTCTACCTTGAAACAGCTGTGTTTGCATGGCTGTGTTTCGGTTTGAAGGTTGGGATATGGCGGTGAATTTACAGGGTATAGAGGAATAACACCGGAGTCCTCAGGAATAGCAACGCATGGGAGGTATCATGGGCGAAACAGTATTCTCTGTTATGTCCATAGTACTGCTCATGTCTATAGGCGACGGTTACCACTTTCCATTAGGGAAACCGTCAGTTTGTTTGCCATTCTAAGTTGTATAATTAAAAAAGAAATAAAACACATGAATAATGAAGAGACGGTCTCCTCTTCGTTTGTGTGGTATTACAAACCCTTCAGTGTACAAACTAATTTTTTATAATTTCATCTTCCTATGATTTTTTAATTTTATCTAGTGTTCTTAATACAACAAACCAACAAGAATCACCAAGAATGAGCGTCTTATCAGCCGTATTAAATAACTGCACGCCATACACAAGTTGTGCGTGGTAATTAAAAAAAAAATACTAGATAATGTACACAATATTCTTTTTAAAAATGCAAGCATTTTGAATTCGTTGTCTATGCAAGGCATAAGGTTATGTTCAACAATAGACCTTAAATAAATACTACAATATTTATGAGGTCATCGCTCCTTATAATGAAGGGTTTCTGTTTGTTTATAAGACTCTTCCTATCTATAATCTAAATATTTCTATCGATCATCGATTCCTTGACTAAGTGGCTGACCCAATTGGCTCTTCAACTATTGATCTTTCAGACTACTTCGGTTATTATTCTAGTTCTATTAAGATTGATTTCTGTGACACTTGAATATATAATAACAATAGCCTCAGTTAATTTGTTTTCCATAATAAATCTTATTATAAACATAATAATACAAACTTTTACTTAAAAAACGTTCATAACAAATTATCGCAACATCGTAATTATGTATCAATATTCAAAAACAATCGAAATTTTCTATCTTTTTGATTGATTATTTAAAAAGCAAAAATTATGAACGCTCTAACTTGCTTTTAGTATTTTTAGTTCAAGTTTTGCAAACTACATTATGACCAATTCTTCATAAGCAATGTCATTGATATTTTTCATACCTTTATTTCTAATGACAATCTAATATGCAATACTCAGTAATGTAATAGTTACAAAATGGCCGCCGCCACAAAATGGCGGATGGTGTATATTTTATTAATCCTGTTAATTTGGGTATCAAATTAATAAAAGAACTTAAAGAGTGGGCAGCGATAAAATCATTGATGCCTTTTACTTGAACGACCGCTGCCAAACAAAATAATTCATGTAAAAAATATTGTTAAACAGATCTGTTTTGTGACATATTACAAATGCTTACCTTTATAAAAGTCCCTTGCTCCCACTTTCTTCAACAGCATTAATTCGTGGTCTTCTCTCTTCCACGTTATTTTTGGAGGTGGATGTCCTGTCGCCTTACATATCAGCGTTATGTTATCCATCTCGTGGGCTGACACGTCCGCTGATGTCTCTTCATTTATTATATCAGGAGGAACTGTTATAAAATAACGTTAGTTGCCTTTTATAAAATTACTTTATTTATTGCGTCGACTTTTTTTCTTTATTTATAAACAAAAATTATACTGTTTGTAACAGAATTCATAAGAACATTATATATGTTATGCTTTATATAAAAACCCTATAGATACCTTCTCTTTACGGGTTCTCAAGGTTGACTGCATGAAATCCCTTTAGGGGTTAAGTCATTTTCGTAATAACCTAATATTGTAAGTGAAAAGTATAAGTAAATAATATTTACATATATTTGAGTAGTATAAGTTTTGTAGTTTTATGTTTAATTTAAATATATGTTTCTAAAATATATTTCTTTTCATTATCGATAAAAATAGGTATTCTATTTGTATCAAGAGATGATAATTTCGAATTTTTATTTGATAAGCCATCAACTTATTTGGCAATAGTAGTAAAAATCTACTTTCTTTTTATTTGGGTGATCAAGAAGATATTTACCATGATTTAAAAATTGGTTTAAAAACAAATAAGTTTGAAATTTTATGTAGTTTTTTTCACTTAGTTATTGATTCCATAAAGTGTTTTAGAAACTTAGGTACATTTAAAATAATAAAAATTTTAAATTAATTACATTTATTTTAATTTGATTTTATTTAGCAATGTCATAATTTAACTGAATGTACTTAAAGGTGTCTCATAAAAAGCAGTTCAGAAATACCTCATTAAGAGTAAAATAGGAAATGTAACATACTTAGAGGACTACGTAACAAGAGGAGTGAGGATTTAATGAGACGCCATGTTGAATGCAACAGATTTTATAAGCAACAGCATCTACATTTTAGCAGCTGACACAGTATAGCGGTTTTACGAGTACTCGAGCGTATCACCCTTGTCGTTTGTTCGGATCAGTGCTATTTACATAAACGAAGGGAGTATAGGGGATGTGGCACAAGTGCTACTGGGTTTTATTGGCTTTTAACTTTGTGGCCTTTTGATGTTAGTACATCGTCGGCAACTTAAATAATATTGAATCTAACAACTTCTACATAATTTATGTGGACTTTACACTATCAACATTGAAATTTTACAACGTGCACGCTCCTACATTGAGGAATATATCATTTTTATTAAATCTCTCAGTTCGCCAAGTTACAGCGCCACCTCGAAGATATAGTAAAAATTCAATATTGAAATCCATACTTCAAAACTCGGGGAGTAAAAAAAGAATAACCTCCGAACTAATTTGAGGAGTAAGCGATAAAAGTTGCCTCCCCCCGATGGTTGGGAAGTAACGCTGTGATTTATTTTTCCCGACAAAAATACTTTCCCACTGTTTCCATTCGGGACGTTTCATTGATATTGAGTTTTGTTCTAAGTTCGACGTAAGTACTTTGAAATGTTTTGAAGCTTGAGATCGGTCCTATCCTTAATAAGCTTAAAGACTTCCCTCCGTTTTATTTTTACCTATTATGCGTTTAAAGAAATCGTTCGTTTGAAGTTTCTTTTGAGAACGTTCACGGTTGAATACACCTTCATAAAGTTTCTAATTCGGTTTGTTGCTTTCTAATTTACTTAAATTCTCTTTAGGCTCACTTAAGAAATATATCTGTTTACCAATTGTAAAGCACCGTTTTCATGATAATTATTTATTTATGATTTCATACTATTAGATGTTTTTATTACTATGACCGACGAATCCAACTCGACTGGGCAGCGTTCGAAAAACTACGCCATATCTTTTCATCCAAAATACCTCAAACTTTGAAGACGAAGGTTTTTAAGCAGTGCGTATTGCTAGTATAGTGCGTATTGACTTATGGAACCGAAACATGGTCCTACATGATTGCCTGTATGCAAAACTTCAAATTATTCGGCGGACTATGGAGAGGGTTATGCTTGAAGTTTCTTTGCATGATAGAATCTGAAACGAGGATATCCGCAAAAGAACCAAAGTAACTGACATAGTCCGAAGAATAAGTAAGCTGAAAAGGTAATAGGCTGGCCACATAGCTCGAAGATCCAACAATCGATGAGGAAGAAAGGTTCACGCTAGATGGAGTGACGACCTCAAATGCATTGCAGGATTTATGGGGAAGCCTATGTCCACCAGTAAACGAATAATGGCTGAAATGATGATGATCGCGCTATGATATTAATAATATAGAGATTACGGTTTTCTTTTTTTTGGATTTCTTACCATATACATCTATACAACCAATCTGCCACTTCATGCTTGGTTGAGTATTAATTTGACACATATAGCAACCCCGGTCTTCAGCCTTCAGGGGTCGAATTCGTAGCTGCCACGTACTGGGGGTATCCAAGCTGACTGAGTACCGAGGACCGAGGACAACTCTCTCGTGCAATGATAGTACTGTTTGATCTTCAGCTCGAAGCCACCCCACCTGTTAAATAATGTTTGAAATTTAAATATAATTTGGTAAATTTGATATAAAAATTTAAATTATTTGAATAAATTAAAAATATTAATAGTAAAAAAATACCCTCGCGTAAAAATACTGTAATCCCAAATGGAGTAGTCGAGGTTATTACTAATATGACGTATTATGCGACGTACCGATATTTTGCGGGATATACTATTTTTTTATAATTAAAACAGCAATTTTCTTTGCAGAACAAAATCCTGCGTATCGTATTACTTATCTCGCGTCATATAGTTTCATGCAATACCAATTTCTAAATTCAAATATTGTATATTAGATACTAATAAACAATCGTAAGCACACAAAAAAAATATTTGGTCATTTTTAAAAATAAATTTATTAAGATTGTTCACTAAATAAACAATATAAAAAAGAAAAACTTTCAACAGAGTATTTTCTTTTTATTTTTTAATATGAAAAATGTTGAAAGGCCAAAGGATATACCGTACAATCAATTGTTAAAGAAATGATTCTATGAACGTAGGAGGTATTTATTTAACAGGTGAAATATGGCTTATGTAAGCCTCAAAATTTTTGTTATGGGGATCACAAGTTGTTATTAACTCTTTCATTGGGTCTAAAATATATATAAATTATTTACCAAATATGTGAAGTATAAAAAATATTGATTTTTTTATTTAGAGAACGCACAAAAGTCAAAGCAGGCAGTGTATAATAAAATAATTTATTTATTATAGAACTTATTCTAAGAATGAAATTCCAAATGAGAAAGACATTGTCCTTAATCGAATGTAAAAATTGTTTAAGTTGTTTTTACTAAGATAAAAATACCAAAATTGTTTAATAAAATATCCCAAAACTATTTTTAAAACTTATATTCCTTTTTTAATAATATATAAATGGATAACGGGAAAATAATGAATATACTACTTATCATTTGCGACAATTGTTTCGATTTCCTCTACAAATCTTCTTCAGAAAAGGCTGAGTACAATGTTTACATCGCGAGACGCAACGTTGAAAGCACCATACTATAATTATCGGATACGACATAGTTCATTAAATTCCTTTTATCCAATTATATGTTACCCTATAGCTATCACTACGCAATGGTAATTGCATCTGTGTTATGTATAAGCATGTTATAACTATATAATAAATAAATAAAATAAATATTTTATACGTAGTAAATGTATAAAGGTCAAAGAAGTCAGCGCACATATAATTAATTAATTATTATACAGACTTATTCTAATTACGAAATACAGAAAGAGAAATATAACACTCATAATTGAATGCAGAAGTTGTTATGACTTATCCCAATAGGTAGTTGCAGGAATATTAACATCTCGACCTACTAACAGCAACTTTATATTTAGCCTAGGTCACCATTTAATAAATAAATAAAATAAATAATTAATTTTCATTTAGGAAACGTATAAAGGTCAATGAAGTCAGCATGCATATAATCAATTAATTACCATAGAACTTATTCTAAGTACAAAATACAGAAAGAGAAATATAACACACATAATTGAAAGCAGAAATTGTAACTTGTCCCAATATGTACTTGCACTTGGAATATTTACATCTCGTCCATGAACAGCAAATTTGTATTAATTTAGTTTACCGTTTAGTAAATAAATAAAATAAATAACAAATTTTTACGTAGTAAGTGTATAAAGGTCAAAGAAGTCAGCATACATATAATTAATTAATTATCATAGAACTTATTCTAAGTACAAATACAGAAAGAGAAATATAACACTCATAATTGAATGCAGAAGTTGTTTTGACTTGCCCCAATAGGTAGTTGCAGGAATATTTACATCTCGACCCACGAACAGCGACTTTGTATTTAATTTAGTTCTCCGCAGTCGAGGTTATATCATAAGCTCTCTGAATTTTAAACAGTCAGTCTTAAGTACTTAAGTATTAAACTATACGGTATGATAATAAATGTATTTATTTATCAATTTACTTATCAATTTCTCGTATCTGTAAGATGGAATGATCAATCTTCTGTGTAGTGACGGAGGAAAATTTGTTATTGGCATACGAAGACGGGTACTAAGTATAATATATTTTTTTTATACAATTTAGAATGGCAAACAAGCTGACGGTAGGTCCTGATGGAAAGTGGTAACCGTTGTCTATAGACATGAGCAGTACCATGGATATAACAGAGTATACTGTTTCGCCCATGATACCCCCTATGCCCCCATTCCTGAGGACTCAGGTTTTATTCCTCTGTACCCTGTAAATTCACGCCATATCCCACCCTTTAAACCGAAACATAGCCATGCAAATACAACTACTTTACGGTTGAAACACGAATGGGACAGGGCATAGCAGAATAAGAGAAGATAGCATTTAAAATAATTTTTCTATCCATTTAAAAAGACGCATATTATATATTACCATTCAAAGTTGCATAAAAAAATCTCTAATATGTCTTTGTCCATAACTAAAAGCTCCGTTCGTATCCTAAAAGCCCCTTTTATATATACGAATATACGATAATATAAAATAGAAAATAAATAATATAGGCCCCCAGCTACTCTCCAAAAGGTTAAAGGATTATTAATAATGAGGTGCAACATATTATTGCTAGCAATATATCCTATCAGATCGAACTCTACATGTTTTCCCTTGGAAACCATCGTGGTTAATTCTTGTTGTCGTTACTATGGGTCAAATGATCTAATTTTATCTTCACCTGTCTTCTCTCACTGAGTCTTCCAGTATATACTGATAACACAGGTAGGGTTACCATTCTATTTTCACCCATAAAAAAATCAGTCCATTCTGGGATGAGCACTGTTCGAATTTTAGCTTTATTAAAACATGTAATAAATTTATTACATGTTTTAAATCGAAATAAATAAAATCCAGGCAACATGGTATAGAAACATGTCGCCGGTAGGTAAAAATAGGCTAATATTCTCATTTTATGGATATAAAAAAACGGATGTTGAGATGTCACTGATCAGTAAACCACTGATATGAAATAGATTATATATAGTAATAAAAATTAATAGTTTATAATTACAGGCGTCATTTTTCGAATTATATTTCTTTCGTTAAAATATTAAACTTTGCTAGAAAATTCTAAAACAATTCCTTTAAATAGTTAATGATTTGAATTTTATTCTGTAATATAGATAAATAGGAGGGACCCATGCCCAGTAGGGAAATAAAACGTAAATGAGTTGTTGTGGTAATGATAAAACTTATCTATAATTTAGGAGGGTGCCGTGACCTATTTAGTGGGAACTACCCCGCGATAGACCTCGAATGTAGAAGGTAAACTTTGTTAATTTAAATTCTCTACCAACTCTTCATTGATAGTAAACACCGTTGAGCACCTAGGCCCTGGTTTCTCATAACTTGAAAGCAATTAATGCGCTAAATGTTTATTGCTGCTGTTATTAAATTATTAATAAAAATTAAATACCTAAATATTTTAATTAAAATTACTAAAAAATATAACAATATCTCTCTCTCTCTCTCTCTCTCTCTCTCTTTATTTCGTTATGAGCGCGTGTGTGCGTGTGTGCATGTGTACGTGTGTATATGTATGTGTGTGTGTATGTACATATTTGTGTGTGTGTGTGTGTGTGTGTGTGTGTGTGTGTGTGTGTGTGAGAGTGTGTGTGAGAGAGAAAGAGTGCATGAGTTCGTGCTTATGTGTACCTATAATAATTGTATTCGTACACAAGTAATATATGTACTTGTATTAAAGTATTACAGGAAAAAATATTTGTGTCCTGTAAACAATGTTGTTGCCTTTTAATTATTCTAGTCTATTATAACTTAATTATAATTTAATGCATTATTGCAGCTACAATATAAAATAAAATTAATTATGCTTGAAATTTTAATAGAAATTAAATAGTATCAAATATTATGTTAGGGCACAAAATTTAGCGTGAAATTTCTATTTTGTTTGTGAAAATTAATGGATCGCTAAAATTAATTTTTGCTCAGCGAGACCTTTATCTGTAACAAATATTGTTTGAAATAATAATTAATTTTGATTTTAATGGCAACATAAGGCTTTCTGTGAACGAGAAAATAATTCTTAATTACAATTAAAATAAAGAAATTCACTTATATTTATTTATTTTAATGTCAATGAAATAAAATTACACTACACTTAAATATAAGTACACTAGATACTTAGATATAAGTAAATAATACGTTTCGTGATATATTCGAAAAACAGTGCTACCACACTTTTTCATTATTGTTGCAAGCACAGATTAATTAGTTTATTTTTATTTATTTATATTAGCATACAATCATAATTAGCCCGAAATATAAACAAGCTGAAATCAATTGAAGATAATAAATCTCGAAGAATCGACAACCGATCGGAAAGAAAGTTTCTTGAGTGGTGACCTCGTACTGGCAACCGCAGTGGAGAACAACTCCTCACTAGATAGAGCGACGACCTTAAATGTACTGTGGAGAGCCAATGGATGCAGGTGGTTAAGAACCATTCGTTATGGCAATCTATAGAGTTATGACCACGTTCAGCAATATATATATATACTTTAGTTATGATATATAGTATAGTATATATCAATGATACACAAGACACAAGATAGCCGTGAACCGCACTCATGAATAAGGACTCCTAGCGGTTCGAAACTAGTACGGCATCCCCGAATTTAAAACGAGAGTAAAGTTGATATAAATAATTAGAATACAGTATGATTTACGATGATTATTATTTGACTTGAATTGTAATAAAGTTTATGGAACTCTTTGCTTGATTAGCATTTAATTGATACTCCTTTACAGATACAAGTACAACCAACCAACATTGTAAAAAAGTCGTTTGCTTGGGTACCTCTATCCTATTCGTGTTTTAACCGTAAAGCAGTTATGTTTGCATGGCTGTGTTTCGGTTTGAAGGGTGGGACATGGCGTGAATTTACTGGGTACAGAGGAATAATAACACATGAGTCCTCAGGAATGGCAACGCATGGGGG